TGGTCCACTGTTTAGATGTCCTCACAGCTGGTTTACAGAGCTTTAGTTTCTGCCTGTATGCAGGAATCAGGTGGACCATGGCATGGTCAGGGTCCCAGTGCAGCTCCAGGGACGGCGTGGTAGGCTCTACTGACTGTAGTGTAGCAGTGATCCAGAGTGTTCCCGTCTCTGGTAGGGCATTTCATGAATTGTATGTATTTGGGGAGTTCGTGGCTGAGATTACGTTTGTTAAAGTCGCCACGTACGATAACCAGCGAATCTGGATTTGCTTGCTCCACACTCAGAATCTGGTTGGCGAGCATGCGTTGGGCCTCTTTAACCTGATGACCCAGCGGCAAGTAAACTCCGACCAAAATGAGCGACGCGAACTCGTGAGGCGAATAGAAAGGTTTACAGTTTATAAAAAATGATTCAAGGAGCGGAGAACAATGTTGCAGAATCACTGTGACATCTACACACCAGCCACTGTTAATGTAAAAACAAATACCACCGCCTTTCGTCTTGCCGGAGAGTGCTATGTCACGATCTGATCTTACAAGATGGAATCCTGCCAGTTGTAGCGCAGTGTCCGGAATCAAATCACACAGACATGTCTCCGTGAAGTACAAAACAGAAGATGAAAGAAAGTCTCTGTTTTTCACCATCAGTAGTTGAAGTTCGTCCATTTTGTTGCACAGTGAACGTACGTTGGAGAGGAAAGAGTTCGGAAGCACTGTTAGATTCCCGCGTCTGCGTAGCCGTACAAGAGCCCCCGACCGTTTACCCCTTGGGCGGCGTTTCGCTGCTTGAGCAAAGCCTAGCGCGGCTTTGATTAGAATTCCCACTAATTTTGCCGCTGGACGCAGAAAGTTGGGAAATAAATCCACAGGAGTTGTTTCCCTGATGTTTAAAAGTTCGTCTCTTGTTAGGGAACTCTGAAAATCTTGGCTAAACGCTGAAAAAATAGACAAAACAAGACAAAACAGGGCGCACCGACCGGCTGAGGCTACCATCATCGGCACCATCTTCTCACCAGCACGGGTGTGATGAACAGCAGGCCTCTCTCACCAGCACGGGTGTGCTGAACAGCAAGCCTCTCTCACCAGCACGGGTGTGCTGAACAGCAGGCCTCTTTCACTAGCACGGGTGATTAAGCAAAACAAGACAAAACCGGACAAAACAGGGCGCACCAACCGGCCGAGGCTGCCATCGGCGCCAACCGAAAGAACCAAGAATATGGTAGCACATTCTCTATTTATTGCAGAGGTTCATGGTTCAAATCCGACAGACACACCTGGCTACCCCAGTAACATTCACAATATGCACAGTCTGCTTAACGGCAGCTGTAAAACATAGCGTTGTGTCATTCACAATGCACAGGTCATTGCATGTTGGTGTCACGGTCAAAATTGGGGTAATTCCAAACATTATCCAGAAACTACACAACGGAGATGGCGCGTCAATGATCGCCCCCTACCGACACTCATGTCCACGTGCAGGCCGGTGCAGGGCCACCTTGTGCCACACAGGGGCAGCTGCCACTTACGATTGTTCGAGATGAGATTCGATACAAAACACCGAGTTGCTGGGGAAATTAGGCAATCGACTTATGAGTGCAAATATGATGTTGGTAACGTAGTGAAAGCTTGGGAGCTTCATTGTCTCTCGCTCCTGCTGACAGATGTACCCAGCCCACAGCTCCACAGATACCAGCCGCTCCTCCTGTGCAGGTTCGGCTACGTACAGTGCGAAATAAGTTCCAGATACACACAGAGACTCACACACAGACCCACAGATTAGCATGGTTGGCTACGTATGGTGCGAAATATGTTCAACGTACACACAGAGCCTCGGAGCAAGCTTGAGTCGCGTGCAGTTGTGGGCCGTGAAAGTTGAACGGGCGCATGTTGCTACTGACAGTAGTTGAATACTGTTGGAAAGACGCTGATAGAGACAGACACAAAGACTGACGAGAGGTGGACAGACACAGACAAGAGGAACACAGAAAGATACAGAGACGACAGAGACACAGTCAGCGAGAGACACAGAAGAGAACAGAGACACAGACAGACAGAGAGATGTTGAATCGAACAAACTTAACTCGCTCCATTGAAAGAGATTCCTCAATCTTTGCCCATCCCCGGAATGAAGTCGTTCTAGTTTCTATTTCATTGTGTGTGGTGTGTACGTGTAAGCAATGTGGGACATCGATGTACACGGATATGAACAAGATCAGCAGACAAGACGTCTTTCATTTATCGGTCTCTCTGCAAAACAAAAGATTTTTTACGCAAAATATAAATCCCATGGCCTTCTGCGAGTCCATAATTACTGCAGCATTTATTCAGGGCAAGCCAACTATGAACCAGTTTTGGTGTACAATTTATGTTTAAAAATACGTGCACAACTTCCAGTCGTTTTCATGCAGGGGGCGCTGCAAACCTACGCACCCCCTGCATGAACGACGGAGGCGCAGGGACAGACGTTCGATCTGCAGACGGCGGTCTTCTCGCACGGCCAGCTCTGTGTTGCCTCATCTCGATCCCGCGATCCCAACCAGGTGAAAGTCCGCATCGAACCGAACCCCCGGCAAGGCCATCTACTTAATGACGAGAGAAAATTCACACTAAATATCGTTTTCAATTAATAAGCTTTTAATGAAGAAATACAATTATCGAATTCAAAACATGATACAATTCAAAGTTCTTTCATTTCAAACTTCAAAACGGAGCATCGGGTGCAGGTTACTTCCAAAACACACACTTTGTCTTAACATCACTTATTTAATGTTTGACCCTTATAGACAAAATGTTACATTAACGCACACAATCAGACAAGTATTCATTATAAATTGACAGGCATATTAACAAAATTTAATTGCTGCACTGAAATATACTGCATCAGGTTACATCGTACTAACAAGAAGCTATTTTAAAACATACGCACCATCTGCTGAACAGTGTTTGTACATTTTTGAATTAAAGCTTTCATGACTGCAGGGGTTCATATTCTTGGTTGTTTCGGTAAAGTCACGTAAAAAGGAAAAAAAATATTTAAAACATTAAACATTTTCCTGCTGTGGTTTTCACACCTGATTGCTTGTGTTGCAGTCGAAACGTCGTCAGAATTTTAAAGTTTTATATTTTATTGTTTCCCTTCTACATGACTTTACCGAAAGTTTATGTACAACATACTATTGCGCCATTCAAAACGAGTAGGCCATTGCATGCTGGCGTCTGGGTCAAAATTGATCAAATTCTAAACATTACCTATAAACTCCACAACTGAGATGCCACATCAACCATCGCCCCCTACTGACAGGCTCTTGTCCACATGCAGGCCGGTGCAGGGCCACCACCTTGTGCCACACAGGGGCAGCTGCTACTTGGGGAGGCTCTTCGAGATTTTGAGACGAGATACGATACAAAACTCCAAATTGCCAGAGGCGATTAAGCAAGCACCATATAAATGGAATTATTAGAACATAGTGAATGCTTGGGAGCTTATTGGTTCTCGCTCCTGGTTAGAGATCTACCCAACCCACAGGTCCACAAGAACTGGCCGCTCTTACCCTGCAGGTTGAACCTAGGAATTGAGTGTTCAACTTCACATTCATATCATTAAAGGCCTGTGACAAAGGTGCATCTATTGCAGCGACATCGTCTCTCGCTTACACATCTACCGGGTCTCCATTTGACTTTGTATTGTCTCGGAGGAAGTCCACCCAAACCTCCACTTCCACAAACTGCTGGGAGTTGCCTCGCTCTGCCTCACAGTCAGAATTCTCCTCCTGCTTCACGTTGCCTCCATCGATGTGAAGGTCCGACTTTGGAGTTGAATCTTCATCTTCACATTTTACCTTCACTTCTTCGCTCTTCACCATCACTTCTTCACATTTCACCTTCACCTCTTCATATTTCACCTCGATACCTTTAAAAGTGTCCAAGCTGGGATTTTCTTCCGGTTCTTGTTTCATGAGGGATGGGCTCATTGCGGCACTTTGACTTTCACAAGCTGATTTCAGACTCCACTCCTTGTGGATCTTCTGATGCTTGCGAGTTCTCTGGTGTACATGAAGATTTGATGAACGTGCAAACGCCTTCCCACACACACTGCACTTGAAGGGTTTCTCTCCCGTATGTGTTCTCTGGTGTTCTACAAGAGCAGATGACTGTGCACACGCCTTCCAACACACACTGCACTTGAAGGGTTTCTCTCCCGTGTGTGTTCTCCAGTGTGTTACAAGAGCAGATGAAACTGAAAACGCCTTCCCACACACACTGCACTTGAAGGGTTTCTCTCCTGTGTGTGTTCTCTGGTGTATTTGAAGATTTGATGAAACTGAACACGCCTGCCCACACACACTGCACTTGAAGGGTTTCTCTCCTGTGTGAGTTCTCTGGTGTTTTATAAGAGGAGATGAATCTGAAAACGCCTTCCCACACACACTGCACTTGAAGGGTTTCTCTCCTGTGTGAGTTCTCTGGTGTTTTATAAGAGAAGATGACTGTGCACACGCCTTCCCACACACACTGCACTTGAAGGGTTTCTCTCCCGTGTGTGTTCTCCGGTGTGCTACAAGAGCAGATGAAACTGAAAACGCCTTCCCACACACACTGCACTTGAAGGGTTTCTCTCCTGTGTGTGTTCTCTGGTGCATTTGAAGATTTGATGAAACTGAAAACGCCTTCCCACACACACTGCACTTGAAGGGTTTCTCTCCTGTGTGAGTTCTCTGGTGTTTATTAAGAGGAGATGAATGTGAAAACGCCATCCCACACACACTGCACTTGAAGGGTTTCTCTCCTGTGTGAGTTCTCTGGTGTGTTACAAGAGTAGATGACTGTGCAAACGCCTTCCCACACACACTGCACTTGAAGGGTTTCTCTCCCGTGTGTGTTCTCCGGTGTGCTACAAGAGAAGATGGATCTGAAAACGCCTTCCCACACACACTGCACTTGAAGGGTTTCTCTCCTGTGTGTGTTCTCTGGTGTATTTGAAGATTTGATGAAACTGAAAACGCCTTCCCACACACACTGCACTTGAAGGGTTTCTCTTCCGTGTGTGTTTTCTGGTGTTTTTTAAGAGCAGATGAACGTGCAAACGCCTTCCCACACACACTGCACTTGAAGGGTTTCTCTCCAGTGTGTATTCTCTGGGGCCGTGTCAAATCTCCAGTACGATCCGTGCTGTTTGCACGCCGGTCGCATTGTTGCCTTTTTGCACCGAGCCGCGCCGAGTGCCTTTGCTCCATCAGACAAATTCTGCAGAGGAAGCGACAGCTGCAGACAGAAAAAGAATATCCACACCATCTACACGTCAGTTTCGATGCACAGAGGAATGCATATATACAGTAACACATGACTTACATGTCTATACTTATTCATATATTCATGTTATAGTGAAAAAGTGTCCCAAATTCATCACACGGGCTGTTATAGCACACAATGAGAGGGCCGAATGTCATAAACGTGCCTGGAAGCCCTAGTATCTTCACAATGAATGTTAACCCAAAACTCCGAGCACACAATTTCGGCTATCTGGCTTCAAAAGGAATATTTATGACAGCTAAATTCAGCTGACATAGCAAAGGGTGTTGAAAATAATACTATTTGTTTTATGCAGAAATGCATAAATTAATGTTCAATCGCAACTTAGAGGTGTGAAGCCAGGCACAGATGTCCTTGAATGCTGGGATGAACAGTTCCGACTTCAGCTGCACGTGTGCTGTAATAACTTCCTGACTCCATTCTTACAAAGAGTTCCAGAGAAAAACAAAAATAAACTACTGTTTTGATATAACCTCCGTGCTCAATAGAGTTAATAGACCTTACTGCAAATACAAACTTGACCCTGTCACACACTCAGAGGTGGAGCCAGGATTTTCAGGTAGGAGGGTCAACCCCTTCAGCAATGAAAAATGATAGGAGTTGTTAGTAAGGAGTTGTTAGTAAGGAGTTGTTAGTAAGGAGTTGTTAAGTAAGGAGTTGTTACTAAGGACTTGTCCTATGCTTTTTATTCGACGCGTGTGATCGTCATCGCGCTCGCTGAAGGTGTTTGCCATCAGGGAAGTCGTGTACTGTATACGCAACTGTGCACAATTCTGCGACTCGCTTGTAACTGCTTTGCCGTTTCTTATTGCCAATTATGGACTCGGACTGTTGTCCTGTCATAGAGTCCCTGGCACGTAATAATATGCCACACGGTGGCAGTGGGGGGGGGGGGTCGCAAAATGCCGATTTATCTATATATATAAAAGGGAAATGTGTGAATTTGTGTCTGTTTGAAATGTTCAGCATACTTCCCAACATGCTACACACTTGAAATTTGGAATGTGGGTAGGTTCCATACTGTACGAAATGTAAAAAGTATAAAAATAGACTTTTGTATTTTGGGGGGAGGGGGTGGGGAAAATGACCATGGAGTGTGTGACGTCAACCCGCACCTGAGTTAAGCATTCTGCAAAGCTTAGAGCTGTTAACAGCGTGCCGGGAGATTTTAGGTGGCGTTTTGCTCCTGCTCGATGAAGCCATTCGCTTCTCGGAGTTTCAATACATATCCGTGCGAAGAATGGGTACAACGGCTATCTTAAATATAAAGCAGAAATAGCATATGTTTGTTTGTGTGAAGCACCAAAAACTCTCCAACGCTGAACTCTGGCGTCATGAAAATTTCACAGCTTATGCTGTCTGGAATTTCTAAGTGAACGCAACTATTTTCTGCTCGCCACGTCATTCCCTTCCGGCGTGGCCAAAATCGACCTTACGTAGAAGTGGATTAAGGTTAAATTTCCTTGAGTGAAAACATCCGATTTAGGGAACTTGATTTGTTTCGGCTTTTTTCTTTCTTGCAAGCATCAAAAAATTTCAGGGGTTTCCAGTGAAAGATAAGGGAATATGAAATTTATCCAAGACTAGAATCCAAGTCCCGGACGAAGCCGAGTAGTGAAGCTAGTTACTAATAAACCCCAATGATCCGATTGAAATTAGGGATTTCAATCGGACCGTTGGGGGGGTACGTGCCACACCACCCCCACTGGCTCCACCACTGTCACACACTGGCATGGTTCACAGGTGGTGGTGTGTCCAGACCCACGCCTGGCCACCTTCACCTGCTTAGTATTAATGGTTCCTCACTCCACCAAGTAATTCAATGAGGATCAATAAACACAGCCGAGGCTGCGTGTCTCTCTCTCTCCCCGTGGTCGCGTGTATTTCCTTCCCGATCCCCGGGTTTCCTCTCCATATGTAGAGTGAACACCGCCACGCGTCTAGAGTGAACACCGCCACGCGTCTAGAGTGAACACCACCACACGTCTAGAGTGAACACCGCCACGCATCTAGAGTGAACACCGCCACGCGTCTAGAGTGAACACCACCACGTGTCTAGAGTGAACACCACCACGCGTCTAGAGTGAACACCGCCACGCGTCTAGAGTGAACACCGCCACGCGTCTAGAGTGAACACCGCCACGCGTCTAGAGTGAACACCGCCACGCATCTAGAGTGAACACCGCCACGCGTCTAGAGTGAACACCGCCACGCGTCTAGAGTGAACACCGCCACGCGTCTAGAGTGAACACCGCCACGCGTCTAGAGTGAACACCGCCACGCATCTAGAGTGAACACCGCCACGCGTCTAGAGTGAACACCGCCACGCGTCTAGAGTGAACACCGCCACGCATCTAGAGTGAACACCGCCACGCATCTAGAGTGAACACCGCCACGTGTCCAGAGTGAACACCGCCACGCGTCCAGAGTGAACACCGCCACGCGTCCAGAGTGAACACCACCACGCGTCCAGAGTGAACACCGCCACGCGTCCAGAGTGAACACCACCACGCGTCCAGAGTGAACACCGCCACGCATCTAGAGTGAACACCGCCACGCGTCTAGAGTGAACACCGCCACGCGTCCAGAGTGAACACCGCCATGCGTCTAGAGTGAACACCGCCACGCATCTAGAGTGAACACCGCCACGCGTCTAGAGTGAACACCACCACGTGTCTAGAGTGAACACCACCACGCGTCTAGAGTGAACACCGCCACGCGTCTAGAGTGAACACCGCCACGCGTCTAGAGTGAACACCGCCACGCGTCTAGAGTGAACACCGCCACGCATCTAGAGTGAACACCGCCACGCGTCTAGAGTGAACACCGCCAGGCGTCTAGAGTGAACACCGCCACGCGTCTAGAGTGAACACCGCCACGCGTCTAGAGTGAACACCGCCACGCATCTAGAGTGAACACCGCCACGCGTCTAGAGTGAACACCGCCACGCGTCTAGAGTGAACACCGCCACGCATCTAGAGTGAACACCGCCACGCATCTAGAGTGAACACCGCCACGTGTCCAGAGTGAACACCGCCACGCGTCCAGAGTGAACACCGCCACGCGTCCAGAGTGAACACCGCCATGCGTCTAGAGTGAACACCGCCACGCGTCTAGAGTGAACACCACCACACTGTTGACAAGCCCCACCTTGTTGTTATTGTGGGCAGGTCGCTTCTGAAAACAAGAACGGTACAGCAGCTCAACGCGGGCGTGGCCTGGTAAAAAATAAAAACCTGGATATTTAAAACAAAACAAAGTTACAAAGTAGCGAGCCAGGTGAAGAGAAATTAAAACTTAAGCAAGATACTCTCGGTAAAGTCACGTAGAAAAAAGTAAATTAATTAAATAATACTTTCAGTTTCATTTATTTGGTATAGCCCTGTGAGCCATTTGGCTCTTGATTCGGGTGCAACCGCAACAAACAAAAACAGCTTAAAGGCCGTGGTCTGAGCTTGGCTCTGTTTCACTTCAGCGCAGTCTTCGAGACAGTCTGGTCCCTTCACCTTTTGAAGGCCGCTTGTGTTGTGGCCGAAACGTCGTGATTTTTGTTGTTTTATTTTTTACCTACGTGACTTTACCAAATAGAACCAAAGAGTATAAAAAACAAAAACATTAACAAGAAAACATCTTAAAGTGACTATGTGACTGTGCAAACAAAGAATCCAGGAAAAAACAGCAAAATATTCCACAAAAAGCACCGTACACCAACGCTGCGTGCATATAGCATACGACGCTTCGATTGCAACACAAGCAATCATCATCATCAGGTACAAGGGAAAGAGAGAACAAGCCTAGTAAACTTAGAAACGTAATGCAATACAACAGAGAGTCGGCTAACATAACAGTCAACACCCCACCTGGTTGATTACGTTCTTCCAAAGATTGCTCAATTTGAGAGACAAAACACAGACACGGAGACACATAGACAGAGATAACACAGAGAGAGATACACACATAGGCACACAGAGAAACAACTCCTCTGTGTCGAGGCCTTAAATAGAGAGAGAGGGGGGGTAGAGAAATCAGCAAGTCAATGCAAGGCCGTAGCCATGGAGTCAACATTGGGGGGGGACCAAATCTTCCAGGGGGTCTGGGAACCCCCCCCCCCCAGAAAAAAAATGTAAATTTGAAAACTTATTTCCTGCATAAAATATTTTAAAATTTTCACTAACACATGGGATGGAATTTTTTTTATTTGATACAATAATGTCTAAGAGTGTATTGTATTACATTGCTCTGTTTTTAATTTTTTACCTTTTCTTGTTTCACAGTATCTAATGGCAGAGATTAGGAATTCATAAAGTACAACGCAATCATATAAACAGAAATCTATTCATTGTTATATGAAGACAAGTCCAGATTTTGTGGCCAAGGTTTAGCAAGTTGTTTTTATTAACATAGCAGAGCAACTATTATTTAGAAAACATATTTTTATAGCAATATTATATATTATATATTGCTATAGCAATATATTTGGGGGGGGGGGGACATTTTGAGCATATTTGATTATTGAGGGGGATGTGTGTCCCCCAATATATATTATAATTATTATAATATATTATAATTATAATAATATATTATAATTACGGCCTTGTGTCAATGAGAGATTTGGAACTTTGGTAACTGCAGTAAATAATAATAACACGAGCACACACACACAGAGAGAAAGCACACTTAATCAATCAAACTGAGTACAATTAGGAAATGTAATGCAACACAGAGAGTCGGTCAACACACAAGTAACGCATAGCCTGGTTGATTACTTTCTTACAAAGATTGCTCAACTAAGCAAGATAATTGAAGCAAACGCGATCAGGCGAGGGCAGGAGGCAATATCCCACGTGGCTAGGCCCCACGCTGTAAAGTTCCAACCTGGACATCGCTTCCATGCTCGCTGCTACTCAATTGACATCCCTACGAGAGAGATAGCGAGGCTCTACCTCGGTAAACAACAACAACCACCACCACAACAACAACCACCACCACAACCGCGATGAGAATTTCTCACCTCGAATTTCAGTGCACGGGCGGAACAGCAGCTTCCTGTTATCTCGTGACGTCACACGGCAGCAGGAGGTGACATGACGTCACTTGTGGGGAACGATAACACTCCCCTCCCACAATGAGCGGATCTTAACTTAAATTATATTTTGATTAAAAGCTTTCGTGACTGCAGTAATTCATATTCTTAGCTCTTTCGGTAAAGTCGCGTTGAAGGGAAACAATAAAATAATAAAATATATATGTATTGTTTTATATATATTTTATTATTACCCTTTAAATAAATTATGTTAATGAGCCCGTCCCATACGTGGAGTGATGGGGAGCGGGTGCGGAACATGTCGCAATAAACGCGAAGGCTTTCACGAATATATTATGTTAATGAACGGGCAGTCACCGGGCGTAGCTTTGCCCAAATAAGGATTGGCACCGGAACAGAAATCGGCCGCGGCCGAACATAGGTGACGTCACGCTCAATAGAGCGGTGGTCGGGGGTGGGCGACATTACGTCACTAGCGAGGCACACCGCGTCCTGGCGTTTGACGCCGATGAGGTCACGCTGAGCGGTGACGTCAGAGAGCGGGGTCAGAGTTCAAGTTTGTTGACAGAAGGGGAGCGGCAGTGACGTGTTGAGCGCTCCGCTCCCGACCAGCCGAGTTCCATTACCGCTCGTGGCCAACACCGCCAGTGACGATTTTCTGAACCGGTCCTGAGCCTCCCCTACGTCGACTCAGCCTCAAATGAGTACCCGGTGCGGTGTGTAAACATTACCACTAGGAAGACAAAGGCGGCCGGGCGTGGTGCTGGCCACCCACCCCCTCGTGTGCCGTCCCACCCTTAATAGGTGCTCGCTAACAGCACTAGCCCCTACAGTCTGTCCAGGCTATACGGGGGATCTTTGTCTTTGTGTTAGGTGCTCGCTAACAGCACTTGCCCCAACAGTCTGTCCAGGCTATACGGGGGATCTTTGTCTTTGTGTGTTGGGAGCAAGTTTGGCGTGTGGCCGTGGGAGCTGAACGGGCGCCTGCTGCTACTGACAGTCGTTGACTACGGTTGGACAGACGCTGATAGACAGACACAGACAGACAAGACAGGCAGACAGGCACAAACAAGAGGAACACAGAGACAGAGGAAGATAGACAGAGACAGAGAGACACAGGCAGAGAGAGACACAGACGGGAACAGAGATACAGACGGACACAGAGATCTTCTTTGGTTCTTTCGGTAAACTCACGTAGAATGAGAATAAAATAATAAATTGATAAAATAAAATAACAATTTATTATTTTATTCTCATTCTACGTGACTTTACCGAAAGAACCAAAGAAGATGAATCATTGCAGTCACGAAAGCTTTAAATCGAAATTTGGACAAAGAGATGTTGAATCGAACAAACTGAACTCGCTCCATTGAAAGAGATTCCTCAATCTTTGCCCATCCCCGGAAGTCATTCCTGTTTCTATTTATTTCATCGTGTGTGGTGTGTACGTGTAAGCAATGTGGGATATCGATGTACACAGATATGAACAAGATCAGCAGACAAGACGTCTTTCAGACTCTTTGGTTCTTTCAGTAAAGTCACGTAGGTAGAAAAAATAAAATATAAAATAAATCACGACGTTTTGATCGCAACACGAGTGGTCATCCTCAGGCGAAAACATCCAGACATTGTCGCGTCAGAAGTCACGTGAGCTATGTCACGTGACTATGATAAGGTGACCCCCCCCCCCCCCCCCCCCCCCCCCCCCCCCCCCCCCCCCCCCGTGGCTCGCCCTGCTCAGCTGAGCATCGTTTTAATGCAGTGGGCTCACGCGAAATTGATTTCTCTAAAACGAAGGTACTTTGAAAACCCACTGGCTACACTCTTTTATGTAAGTGTTGTGTCCTTAACTAATCACACGGAGACGTATGGTTGAGGCATCGCGTTTATTATAACTCTTTCGAACTCGGCTCTACACACTACTGTAACACGAAGGGGTAAGGCCCCTTCCACACAATAGTCTCCGGGAGTGACAGCCTCCCTTCTATCGCAGCCTGCACACTCCGGGCTTTGCTACCCACGGGTCCCTTAGCCCGGCGTTAAGGGAAGACTGGACGACCCGTTCCAGCCAGGGTACGGGAGCTCACCCCTGGTCCACTACAACCCGGCTCTAACAAGAGCCTCGGTTGAGGGTCCCCGGGTGCTGGTCCAGTCTTCAGGTCTTCGGATGTCTTCATGCTTGAGTTGGTGAACACTGCCCAGCCCGTCCAGAGGGCCGGGCTTTTATCCCCAGGTCGGGGTCACCCCTCCCCTCCTGAACCCCCTCCCCCCCTCCCAGAACCTTCTGGAAGGTCTTATCTTAAGGGGCCTTAGGGACGGGTGGGGGGGGGGTCAGGGGTGTTAGTCCCCGGTCACGGGGGGGGGGGGCGCCGTGGGTTTACTTTGGTCGACCCCTACGCACCTCGCACTCTCTCTCGGCTGCCCCCTGTTGACCCGTGAACGTGGTGGCAGGTCAGCTTACAGCGCCTTGTTATGGCGCTTACGCACAACTTCGTGACTAACGCTGCACGTTCCGTCGTTTTAATGCAGGGGGCGCTGTAAACGTACACACCCCCTGCATGAACGACGGAGGCGCAGTGACAGACGTTCGATCACGTTGGAATCGATCTGCGGACGGCAGTCTTCTCGCACGGCCAGCTCTGTGTCGCCTCATCTCGATCCCGCGATCCCAACCAGGTGAAAGTCCGCATCGAACCGAACCCCCGGCAAGGCTATCTACTTAACGACGAGAGAAAATTCACACGAAATATCGTTTTAAATGACTAAGCTTTTAATGAAGAAATACAATTATCTAATTCAAAAAAATAATGCAATTCAAAGTTGTTTCATTTTCAAACTTCAATACGGAGCATCGGGAGCTTGCGTGGAGGCGTCGTTCGTGTGCAATTCTTTTCGTGACTTTCCTGGCCCAAGGCCGTAAATGGTTGTGAGGGGCGCCGCAGGCGGTCAGACTTGCTTCAACCCTTGGTTGTGAACATCCAGACGTTAATCAGCAAGGAGCATTTCTAGTCCTAATTCAACAAAATCTACGTCAACACGTAATACAAAATTATAATTCGTGTTGTAGAGAATGTATCTCCTCTACGTGTAACTAATGAATGATCCGAGTGTGCTCCCTATTTCAAAGACAATGAGTTGCTCCAGAGGGAGATGCTTCCTGAAAACACAAATACCCTTTGCCCTGTATCACAAGAACAATGAGTCTCACCTGAGTTGTCTGTACAGGTTACTTCCAAAGCACACACTTTGTCCTAACATGACTTATTTAATGTATGACCCTTATTGACAAAATGTTACATGTACGCACACAATCAGACAAGTATTCATTCTAAATTATTGAGTCATTTTAACAAAATTGTATTACTGCACTGAACTATGCTGTGTCAGGTTACATCGTATTAAAAAGAAGATATTTTTAAAAATATGCACCGTCTGCTTAACAGTGTATGTACAACATACTATTGTCATTCTAAACGAGTAGGCCATTGCATGCTGGCGTTTGGGTAAAAATTTATCAAATTCTAAACTTTACCTGCAAACTCCACAACTAAGATGCCACATCAACCATCGCCCCCTACTGACAGGCTCTTGTCCACATGCAGGCCGGTGCAGGGCCACCACCTTGTGCCACACAGTGGCAGCTGCTACTAGGGGATGCTCTTCGAGTTTTTGAGACGAGATACGATACAAAACTCCAATTTGCCAGAGACGATTAATCAAGCACCATATAAATGGAATTATTAAAACCTTGTGAATGCTTGTGAGCTTATTGGCTCTCGCTCATGGTTCGAGATCTACCCAACCCACAGGTCCACAAAGACTGGCCGCTCTTACCCTGTAGGTTGAACCTAGGAATTGAGTGTTCAAGTTAATTATTATTATTAAAGGCCTGTGACAAAGGTGCATCTATTGGAGCGACATCGTCTCAAGCTTACACATCTACCGGGTCTCCATTTGACTTTGTATTGTCTCGGAGGAAGTCCACCCACACCTCCACTTCCACAAACTGCTGGGAGTTGCCTCGCTCTGCCTCACAGTCAGAATTCTCCTCCTGCTTGACGTTGCCTCCATCGATGTGAAGGTCCGATTTTGGAGTTGAATCTTCATCTTCACATTTTACCTTCACTTCTTCGCTCTTCACTCACACTTCTTCACATTTCACCTTCACTTCCTCATATTTTACCTCGATACCTTTAAAAGTGTCCAAGCTGGGATTTTCTTCCGGTTGTGTCATGAGGGATGGGCTCATTGCGGCACTTTGACTTTCACAAGCTGATTTCAGACTCAGCAACAACAACTTGGACATTATTGTGTGTACACTATGTGTGTGTACACTATGTGTGTGTACACACTGTGTGTACACTGCATGTGTGTACACTGTGTGTGTGTCGTTTGTGTGTGTGTGTACACACACACACAAACGAGTAGCCAGTGCGGTGTGTAATCATCGCTGCTGTTGAGACGAGCGTCGTTCGGGCGTGGCGCTGTCCACCCACCTCCTCGTGTGCCGTGACGACCTCCATGGGTGCTGCTCGCTATGAACAGCACTTTGTAGATGTTGTGGCTTGGCTCTCCAGCACACCGGTGGTGACATTTCACGATGAAATTTTCACGTCCATAAAAAATCGGCCGTTTTTTGGCAAATTTGGCCCAATTTTCCTAGTTTTATTTTTCAACAAAAAGGGATTCCTTGGTTGTGTTTAGCCTTAGTATCCTATATATAACGTAAAAATGTGGGGAATTTTATCCATGAAATTTTCGAATGTAAAAAAGTTTATCGGCATACTAACCTATGCTGTTTTGGCCAAAATTGGCCAAACTTTCGCAGTTTTATTTTTAAACAAAAGTGAATTCCTCCATTATATTTAGCCGTAGTATGCTATATATTAGATTATAAGCGGAAAATTTCACTATGAAATGTTCACGTCCCAAACAGAAAATCGGCATACTAACCTACGTGGTTTTTGGCTGAAATTGGGTTAGAGTTGGGGTTATGGGTTAGGGTTAAGTGTTAGGGTTAGGCTCAGGGTTAGGGGTTATGGTAGTGGTTAGGGTTTAGGGTTAGGGTAGGGT